GAAATCTATATTCAGTCAACAAACACCAATGCAAACATTAAATAATGCCAGGCCAGAGACAGACCCTGTAGGTTTCCTGTAACTTTCCTGTGAGGTTGTGGATTACTGATGACTTGGCAAGTAGAGTTTTTCCATCCACTTCTGCTCCAGCCTTACACTTGCTTTACGTAGGGCAAGTTTTGTATAATGTGTTCATGAGCAAACATGGGGAATAATGTCTATAGCCTTACTAAACCAAGACCTTGCAAACTCCAAAACTAGTGCTGGAGAATAGGGAAACCAAGCTCAAAACATGATGCTTCTCCTCCTGGAAATATATCTGCTAAACCTGTCAATAGCTACTCCTCCATTATTTGAGGATAGTATTCTACCTCTGCCTGGCAATTAGGACTCTGTTGGTTATTCTTGTGTAACCTTGGGACGCCTCCATGACTAGAAAGCCCGGTCACTTCCCAGCAGCACATGTTGTGCCATGGCATAGCTAGAGAAGCCATGGTATAAACTAGCATTGATTCTAAAATCAATATATTAATTTGTGGTGTTATACTTAATATTCAAGGGCTGTGTAAGTACATTTTTTTTTATTGATAGAAGGTTGATTTGCAGTAACAATATACCTGGAACCTGAATAGTAATTTGTAAACGTGGCATCCAGTCCCACTCCTAGTGCCTTGTTGCTATGGACATGTTGCTCTGTAGCACATATGCTAATATTTTGCTCTGTGATTGAGTCCTGAAAAACATGGACTGTTTGCAGAAGATGTGTATTTAAATAATTTTGATTAATAATTCCCCATCATTATTGGAAGACACATGGGTGGTGAAATGCTCGCTCTGTTAAGCCATGCATGCATTACTCTGATTCAGGATTTCACTTGAACAGCTGTATTTTTAACTGCAATGTATCCGGATGTTTTTCCAAAAGGGGAAATCCATGAGGGAAGTCTTTCAGTAATTATGTTGTTAGTACTCCATAATCTCTCCCTTTTCTATTAACATCGCTGTTCCTGGGTGGTGTCTGGCTGGTGGAGACAGGTTGGTTCTTGCTGTGTAATGTGGACAAAAGTTTTTAAAAGGGAAACAGAGGTTTTCTAGTAAGAAATATCTTGTAAAGAGTGATTGATGTTTGTATTAGCTGGAGATAATATTGGAAAAGAGGCTTTATGAAGGTCGTTGTACTAAAATATTGCATGCTGGTTCGTGAGCAGATGGCAGCCTTCTAAGAGAAAGCCTAATCAGGTTACTCTATGATTTTCATTTTATGATGTTTTTACAACCTAGTATTATCTAGTTATTGTGTAATCTGGTAGACTAATAACCTAACAAAAATCTAACTTTCGAGTATTATCCACTTGTAGAGTAGACTTTGGCATTTTCACAAAAAAAACCATTATTAATGGAAATCCAGCTATTGAAGATACTGCAGAGCTCACTTGCAGCATTTTAAAAAAATGATGCCATTTTCAGAGCAGGAAAAAATTATTTAACTGCAAAAACATTGTCTTAAATGCCTTAATAATAGTATCCCCTTTTGGGAAATCCTCTTTGCTTCTAAAGGTCTGATTCATGTTCCACTGATGTTAACATAATTTCCATAAGCTTTAGTTCAAACTTAGATATTATTTGCACCAGATTTTTTTACAGTATTTGGACAATTTGTAAGGCTGCAATTGAAAATCCCAGCATGTAGCGAAGGCCTAAATTCTGTCTGCAACAAATGGGAGTCATGAAAAACCTCATTAGGTACCCATTTCCATGTTCAGGTACTTGGAAGAGGTAGCCAACGTGACTTGTCTCCGTCATTGCTGCCGTTTCCCCGTCCTGTCAGACCCCAGTCTTTGGTCAGGCAGCGTGTCACAACCATAGCCTGTAGTTTCAAAGGTCCGGCTCGCCTTCGCTTTCACATCCGTCTGTTGTAGTCCCTGGCTGCTTTTGTGGAAAAGGTGTCACTGGAGTGCTTGTAGGACTTCTGTTCTTCTGTTTCCCTGTGCTTAAGAAACCCTGACAGATCAGTCTGCTTGGATTACTTGCTGGTTGCTACTGTCTTGAAAATGTTAGATTAAGTTCAATATGGCTTTAAAAACCCAATATTTATATTTTTCATGAATTCAGTGCTGGGTATGAATTAGTGACAGGTCCCCTCCATCTGCTGCAGTCGTCTTCCTCAAATATGCTGGTAAACTGAGCAGCCCGGAATCAGATTTTCCTTGGAACGTTAATGTGGAGCTGTCATAATTTAACAGTTATTCTAGACAATGAAAACAAACAATAAACCCAGGAAAACATGTTAAGCCAATTTTAGGGTGCTCTCTGCAGCTGTTGCGCAAAAAGCGGCTGCGACCCTGGTAAGGGCTGGGGCATGAATCTTCAGATGGTTTAGAAACATTGGAATTAATGAGTCCTTAAAATGTGACTAATTGATTTTCCTGATGCACAAGGCTCATACTTGATCTAAATAACGTCTGCAGACTGTGAAGGCTCGTGTCTTGCTCTGTACTCGACTTCAGTTAATGAAAATGAAACATTCCATTTTTCACAGAACTATTAAGATATCAATAACTCATTTTGGGGTTTTTAATTTAGCGTTAATTTCACTATGTAATTGATGACCCCAAAGAGTGGTCTTCAGTAGTTGCTTTGTCTTCTAATTATTTTTTCTATACAAATTAATATCAAACATTTTGCTCTATTTTGAACATGTAATTTATAATATTTAGTGCTTCTGCACTGATCTTTTTTTGGTTCAAATATACTTTTGTTCACTTAATTTTAAAAAGTATGACATTTCTCTCACAAATGTTACGTTTTTCTCACATTCCAATAAATATTTGTGTAATATCATTTTTAAAAAATCTGCACTTTGAACAAGTTTCTTAATAAATACATCTTAATTCTCTTTGCTCTTGATTAGTATATAATGAGTATAATGGTTCATTTGTCAGAATTTACACTCAATTTAATACAGATAGCAGCAGTGTACATCTCGCCAGTATTCCAGGGTCACCTTTAAGACTTGGGGTGTGGTTGCAGCTGGCATCAAAGCAGTCTGAAATGTATTTCACTATTTTCAGAGAATCTTTCTAATGTTGCTTTCTTTAGAACTAAAGTAGAAATGAATGCAGATGTCATTGTCTTTTAATATTCAATTCTTAGCACTTCATTGGAATTTTATCTCTATTTGCTTTATCAAATGTCATATTAATTGCATTTTGTATCTCCACTCTGTAAATCTGTCATAATTTCTTTCAATAATTTTCTAAGTCAATCAAGTTAGTACAGGTTCATTGAATGAAGAGAAAAGTCATACTGTGATTTATTTTTTTTTAACAGTGTTTGTAATTAAAACTGTCAATAAAGATAATGTAAACAGGATCTCTAGCTGATGTGATCAGAGCTGAAAACATAGCCTTGGATATTTTTCAGGAGATTTTATTTATTGGTATCTACTGATAGCTTTATAGAAGTTCAGTGTTCTTTGTATCCGCATTAGAAAACTGAAGTGGTACGAATGAAACACGCCCAGCGTTTGAGCACTGCCACATTCACACTGTCATTTCTATGTCTCCTCCTATATGTAGAAACTAATACACTACAGTAGGAGTGTGTGATTTCCCCTATTACTTTAAATGCTTTTTCAAAAGCAAAATAGTGGTGAATTATTAATGTCAACCACACCACACTGAAACAGGAAGAAACGCAGGAATGTTCATTATTGATTGATTAGTGTACGAATACTTTGCCTTAGCTCTGACTCTTTTTGAGGCCTCTTGATGTATGAACTTGTTTCATCCAGCATAATAATTTTATGTTGTTTCAACCTCATACTCGAGGATGTGACTGGTAGCACAGCTGAACTCAGTGGGGCTTCCCATCCAGTCGTGTAAGCGAAGGTGGGAGTTTCTTGCTCTGAGTCTTCTGTTCAGATTTCCGAGTTTTTGCCCATCCCGGTCTGCATTGATGTCAGCTCTTGGCTCCACAGGCATGGTTTAGTGAGTTAGGTGGTGTTGGGTTGGACTTGATGATCCTTGAGGTCTTTTCCAACCTTAATGATTCTATGATTCTTTGTGTTCTTTTATCCTGATCTGGTTTTTGAGCTTCCTGTGCCCTGTTTGGTTAAAGCCCTTAAACTTTTACGTGTTGTCTCGAGATGAAACCTTCACCTTGTGTAGCCAAGAAAAGACCATCTAATACTCACAAAATGCAAAGTAACCAACCCTATTGTGGTGCACATGGGTAACGCCGCCTACGAGGGAGTTCATAGAGACGTTTGTTGGGTAGCAGCCCTAAGCCAGAGCAGACCTGTGTTACACAGCGACATTTATTGACTCCTTCAGGCCTACACCAGTGCTCACTGCAGGCTCGTGCTTTCCTACCTGCTTTAGATTAAATGAAAACTGTTCCCTATCTGCACACAGATCATCTGTGTGTATAAATGAGGCCCTAAAGTGTTGATCTTCTCTGTGATGTTGTGATAATTAGTGATGCCGTAAATACAGAAAGTTTACCTTCTGAGGTTCTGCTGCCTTTGATTTTTACTTTTTTTTCCCCACTAACCTAGGTGTTGTTATTCCCTGAGTGTCAGTCTTTAATAGGCTAGCTTCCACTTGTTGAGAAGGTTTGCAATAAAACTGGCTTTGCAGCATACTGATATTTGCCAGGACTGTCCTCAATCCGTAACGATGCAGTTCGCAGGCTATCGGTCTCTGTTGTCATTTGCCACTTCTTGTGTAACAACTTATTGCCATTTAAACTGTTTTAGTTTTATATGCTTACTGTATGTCACAATAAACATCATATGTGATCTAAACAGAGAAAAGACCCGGAGGCATCAAAGGTCTTAGGTATTACTTGCGAATGTGTTTGAAATCAGGCTGGTTTTTATTCCCCAGCATCTTGGTTGAGATGACCAATGAATATTATATCAGTCTGTCTGAAGTGTTGTTTTGACTGGTGGATACCATTCTGCTGGTTTCAACGCAGTCTTTCTCTTTCCTAAACAGAGCCATCACACTGGAGAACCAGCTGGTGATCCTCGCAACATCAGCGACGGACGCAGGACGCTATTATGTCCAGGCGGTCAATGAAAAGAATGGAGAGAACAAGACAAGTCCGTTTATTCATCTCAGCGTAGCAAGTGAGTACCCACACTCTGGATAATGTGCTGTCATACTGAGGCTGCAGACAGTATTCACAGAAGTCTGCCCTAATGAAAAGAACCTTGCTAACAACAGATTGGATCTTCAAAGGGGGTCAACTTTTCCAGCTTAGTTTGGATCACGTTGAGTCTTTGTGCAATAAGAGGGACCTAAGAGAGCATATGCCCTTGACAAATCGTCCTCAAAGCCTTTTGGCTGGTGGTTTATTTTGTGCAAGGCAGGTACATGATGATACCCCTCGCTGTTTTGTTGTGAAGTTCTGGTCATAATTTCTTTTTAATGCAGGGCTTTATAATATATCGTTTTCCATTGTGCGTAAGTAAACAAGTCACTTTTCTGAGTTCGGTTTTATTAATGGGTCTATTTCCAGTCTGTGGCGTTATTTTTACCTAGAGTTATCACAGAGTCCCAGGGAACATGCATTTCATTGTTATTACTTATTATTTTACATTGTGCAAATTGTATTAACACCTCCCATTACAGAGGCGTTCTGTGAGTAGGTTTTATGGCAAAGGGGAGGGAAAAGAGCAGAGCAACGGGGCCAGAAAGATGACTGCACGCCAAATATGCTAAAGTGCACAGTCAGCAAAAGTATGCATGTGTAAACTACTATAAATGTGTTTGTATGAAAAATTAATATTCTAAACATTTTGAATGGTTTGACTCCTTTTCTGAGGGTATTTGGTAAAGGTGGCTTTAATGCAGCCGTGAGGTAGAGTAAGTCTGCTGTGTAAATGTGCAGGTTTCTGGTTTTCATTGTTGACGTAAGGGAGAGATGACTGGGTAAGTTGTTCGTGCCACTGGCAGCTTTTCCAGCAGGCTGTTCTTATGGTTTGGGCTTCTAGAAGATGCAAGACTCAGCTCTAGATCAGTTGGCATGATGAGATGCCCGAGATCTCTTGATCTTGGATACCATCAGAGTTGAGACAATCCCGAAGGCGTGTTTCCATACGATAGCAAAACTTGGGAGTCTGGGTTCCTGAGCAGGAAATCTGGCAAACTGCTCTTGGAAATATGGTTATGTTTCTCAGAAGTTCATCAAAACCATTAATTTCCTGTGAAACATTTGATTTCTAAGAAAATATAATTTTTCTACTAAAATTCCTAATCGGATTCCAAGGAAAGCTGTTCTTACACAAGCAGTGGGAGCCTCTTAGTGGGATGGGGGTCACCAAGGGCAGAAGCTGTATGGTGTAACAGAAGACGTGACAAACTTGTGGTTTTTCCCAGATATGTTTACAAACTAAATGAATTTCTTGGGGGTTTCATGTGTGTATCTTTCTGAAGTGGAAATAATATTCCAAATCCACTTGTGAATTCTAGTTGTGCTGTAGCATGTAGATTGTAAACATTATTATTTCTGACAGCATGAAGAGGTTTGCTAACACTTTAGTAATTTCATTTTTCAAGCAAATTTGTATTTTTGTATTATGTGACCAATAATGTACTTCCCACTTTAATTTCATATCTTAATTAATGCTAGAAATAGTCTGTGATCATGCATGCAGAACAAGTGCTATGCAAAGCAGAAGGTAATATGGGCATATGGAAAAGAAAACACTTGAAAATGCATACAGCCTTGATACCATGAATGCAAAGTCTATCTGGAATGTGAAACATAGGAAAGATTAAATGGATAAAATAAAATGGAGAATGAGGCAAGATAGAAAGCCAAAATTGGATTTGCTTGTTACAATTAATAGTAGCCAATGAGGTTTTTAAATAGTCATCTTGCTTTCCAGGATTTATTAATGCTACCAGTGTGTTGAAGAAAGGCACTGGCCATCAGGCATTACGGTGTCTGTAAAGAAGATGAGATTAACACGGTCATTCTGGACTTTGAATCACATATTTTTCTTCCTCAAATCATTAAATAGACGTGAATAAACGTTTTTGGTCCAGTAAAAGAAAATAATTGGGCAAAAACATAGTTCTGAAGCAATATGTAGGGAGTGGTTGCAGAAAAAATAGGTGTTTTGGAAGAGTAGTAAAGAATCCCAGCACATGGCTAGAAACAGATTGTTAAAGGTACATCCAGGTATGGAGGATATCACATTGAATCGTCACTGTCTGAATCTTATCAGATGTCAGGAGTGATGACACGTGTCATTTTCCATTAGGACAGGTATAAAATTTAAAAACGGTTTAATCAAAATCAAATAAACCACAAGTGAAGTGGATATCCAATCTCTGTGTGAGTAGATTCTATATTAATTATTGAGTACAACCTTGCTACATGACTCAGCAGGTATATTGCCACTTTTATTGAGGGCAAAAGGAAAAAAAAAAAGTCTAGATAATTCCCAGGGCAGTCATCCACCGCGAACAGTGTTAGATATGCATAGCTTGTTATTCCTTGAAGGATATCAGTGTCAGACTTGCTCCAGCCTGTAGGAAAAGCAGATTTGCAGGATCAGTTGAACAGCTGAGAAAGCTGTAAGCTGTCCTGTTCTAGTCTGAAATGTAACACTGACAGTAGGAGAAATGTCTAGCCCTGAGGTAGGCAGAAGCTGCATTATAGGACCTTATATGGCAGGTTACAGTCAATGTCTTGAATTGTGGGTGGAAATAAATGGAGTTTGAGCAACATCTGGAAAATTTGCTAAACTTTTCTTCAATTAATAACTGTATTTGATACATGTTGAATAAGAAGATTTGAGGATGTTGAACATGCTTCAAAAATACAGTCTAAAAGCCCTGGGCATGATGAATTCTCTAGCAGGGCTCTGACTATTAGAAGTAAAGACATTTTGTTTCTTGTCAGTCTAACCTCATTGAGTCCTAAGCAGCATGAAGTCTTGCATCTACCCATCACCCCTTGGTTACAAACATAATGCATAGAAGTTGGAAAATAGCGTCAGAATTGTAGAATCAGAATGGTTTGGGTTGGAAGGGACCTTAAAGACCATCTAGTTCCAACCTCCTGCCATGGGCAGGGACACCTCCCACTAGGTTGCTCCAAGCCTCATCCAAGGACACCGTTGGCTTTCTGGGCTGCAAGCGCGCACTGCCAGGTCATGTTGAGATTTTTCCACCAATTTCAGTAGAATCAGATCATGCCTGAGGTGACAAGCTCCAGTGAAATAAAAATCATGTCCAACTGGCAGCATATTGGGAATAATGTCACATCTGAAACTAGTATGAGATGTCATAAATTAGTCCAAAATTTAAAATGTCTTAAAATCAGTTGAACTGTATACTAAGCTAATGAAAATCTTGGCTTTTTTTTTTTTTAACCATATGTCCCAGCTTTCATGTGAATAACACAAAATTTTCGCGAGGAAAATCGGGAAGTCAAGAGGTTGGCAAACAGAAATAGTAAAACCTGGTTTGTTTTTTGACTCTAGTACATCCATTACTCCCTGTTGAAAATTCACTATTACTGTTTTGGAGGATTTCAGTATTAACTCCATTCCTGGAAGTTCCGAACTTGACCAGAGAAGTGCGAGAGTTAATGTGGTGTTGAGCTGTTGTGAGCTGCTCAGATGTAAATTCTACTTTTCACAAAAAACAGTTGGGAAATCCTCAATGTTCTTTCCTGCTTCCACCTATTCAACAATAGGTTTGATGATAAGATGTTAAATGGATCCTTAATTCTTCAGGCATTTTGTTTCGTGCTCATTCTCCCACAGATACTTACACTGCAGCACAAATGCTCGGATCTCTTCCTAAAGGCTCTGGCTTGTTGGGGGATGAAGCGACATCCTTTTGATCTTGCCAGTGTTGGCAGGACACTTGAAGATCAAAGTGTTAAAGGCCATCATAAACCTCTTAGTTCCTTGGAGACCATGCTCTTGTGTATCAGCTGAATGCTGCTGAAATCCTGCACCAAACCTCTTATGGTTGTGGCAAGGAACTTAAATAAAAATACTGACACATGGCACTTGGCTGTGGGCTGTGCCACCTAGACATGAAGGTGTTTTGGGGGACAAAGGGGGAGCCAGGGGTGTTAGGAGCTTCTTAATGGAGCCATAAGGATTTCTAGTACATAAGTTGAGTTTAAGAAATGGGGTTTTTTTAGAGGGGGGAAAAAGAAAAATATTCATGGGGAGCTTTTTATTAATGTAAGGAGCTGGCTGAGGTATTTACCACAATGCACACAACGTGTGTCCTTGTTACTTTAGTACACGATGACATGGCAAGACTCTGGGTGCCACTTGAGAAGAAGTTTGAAGAGCCCTGCAGAGACTTTTCTAAGATTAACTTCAACGCAACGCTATCGATGTGAGCACCGCTGGCCCGGTCGTAGAAACTTTTAACAGCACGCACTGCTATTTCTGAGTTTAGTTGAAGTATTTTATGAGAAATTTTGAGAAAGCGTCCCCCAGTAAATGATTTAAATGGCAAGTTTGCAAAAGGTGGGCATGTGTAAGCTGTTCTGACAGCTTAGATGCTCCTGCGTCAATTGGTTTTGCAGCGCTAATCATCTGGAACTGCAATTCGGGGCCTTGCTTCTGGACCTTCTTGTTAAGCTGTGAAATATTGAGATGTGTGTCGCTTCAATAGATTTATTTGTAAATTAGATAGTCTCAAGACCTATTCATAACACTAGGAGATACAGAGTGTTCTGCAGACTGACGTCTTTTTCTGATGCAGGCTTTGTAAAAACAGAAAACAAGATTGATGAAAATTTTCAAAACCTTGCCAGCCAGCATTTCTGAAGAGCCAAAGATAATAAAGCCAATTATCATCTAACAAAGATAAATTTTTCCCTTGAGCACTGGCAATGCTTAAAAAAAAAATAAATTAAAAAAAAAAAAAAGTTGGGGACTGCAAGGTAAACTCTTGGCTTGGTTGCATTGCAATTAATTTAAAATACAAAGGTGTCGTGTTGTTCTGCCCAGCTTCCGCTTGCAGCAGGAAGGATTTTAGTCTATTATGGCAGACATTGACATGAGGCTAAATAGACCCTGTTTGTCTCTGTTTGGTGCCTGTTTTATTATTAAATTTAATGTATCAAAGCATAAATTTTACAGAG